CGCTCAGCCGCGCTGACCCTGGTCGACGAAGAACCCGCATGAGAGATGTGACGCAGGACGTAACCCCGCCCTCCGGGCGAGATGCCCCAAAATTTATTAAATCATGTTAATTTCAAATACTTATCACTGACACTAGGGGATACACCACTCTACAGTAATTTGAAAGTGATTGCAGTACCACTTTTGGCCACAATCTTGCATACGGCTCCTTTAATATGTAAAACCACCCTGAATGGTATTCATTGTGTAGGCTACTGTATATTAGTGACAGTGTATATACCTGGTCTTTATCTTGAAAAAAAAAATTTATTCTCAGTGTGTACAGACTTACCATCTGGCAGAGTGCAGTTGTTGGTTACAACAATTTCATTGCAGCAATGTTGTGCCTGTGTTATTATTATCTTTTATTTGTGACTTCATATCAATAATGTCATGAAAAAACATACTGGTCATCCTCTTTTAAAGTATATGACACATTTTTAAGGAATATCGGTGTAGTGCAGGAATATAATTCTTGAACACCCACTGCAGTTTGCTTTAGGTCCGTCTGACTTCAGCATGTGCAATGTGATGGATGAGGAACTGAGAAGGGGAGTCTCATGGTGTTAAAATCCTTTATAAGTTCCCCTGGGGCTCAGAGAGACCCTGGAGACACTGTGGAGCCTGGGGACACACAACTGATAAAGACTCTCCAAGGATCTTGCATCAATCTACAGGTCAGAGCAAACTTAGATTATGTTCAAGGTGTAATTTAGTTTGTTTGTCAAATAATTCAACTAACTTTGATCTGAATTATATATAATGCCAAGGGCAACCCGGTCTCATCCCAAGACGTCATATAACTGACGTTTTGGGACGTCTTTTGACCATACGTCAATATTCGCCTTTTTAGGGCCCCCTTAAACGTCGGTAGATGAGGTTATGGATCCTAACTCTACCCCATACCTAAACCTAACCCTAAACCTAACCCGTCACCTAACTGACGTTAAAGGTAAAGCGTCAGTTGTATGACGGCCCGGGATCGCCATCTACCGACGTTTAAGGGGCCCTAAAAAGGCGATATTGACGTATATGGTCAAAATACGTCCCCAAAACGTCAGTTATATGACTTTTTGGGATGAGACTGTGTTACAAGGGGAACTTAAAGTAAAAAATAGTATACTTGAAATTATATAAATTTATAATAATAATTAAAAAAAATTCTAGAAATTGTTATTTCACAACCATCTATTAAAGACCGCTATGATCATGTAACTTTCAGTGCAGAGATGGAAGAAAGTCTGTGTTCCTCATGTCATCTCTGTCAGTGCGAATGTGGATCAAGGAATGCTGGCTTACCTATTTAACTCACTTCAACTGCTGAAAAAAACTGACAGCAAACAGAAGCTTCATCAGAGGACAGTGAGTATGCTAGGTTTTCTTAATTTAAATTTTTTTTTTAGCATTATTAAGTGGTTGGAAAATGACGCTTACTTAATATATAATTTTTTATGTAAAAATGGCTGGGAGGTTGACTAGGGTGTCTTTGCTCATTCAGGTTTTAAAGCTGCATCCCAGTTTAACTCCAGTGAAAGTGGCTTTGGATATGGGACGAGGCTCTAATTCAGAGCTAAGACAGGTATAGAGGGATAAACGATCACTTTTTAGAATTACCAAAACTAATGTTTAAAAGTTCAAGATCATGTAATGGTAAACATGTTGAAGATTAGCAGATAGTCTGTCAATTCATAAAGTGATCAATCTTTTCCTCTCAAAAGTGAGCTTACTGAATTAAAAGTGTTGAAGCCTCTCTCTCATCGACGTCCATAAAAAAATAAGACAATCCATTCTCATTCCAGTGGCCTCATCTGCTATGACTCCATTCACATACCAGATAAGCACGGCACAGCGACTAGAACAGTCACACACCGGACGTGTCATTCTGTACCCGCATTCTCAAGTTCAAGGTGGATGTCCGAAAAAGTGAAACTAATCAGCTAAAAGCGTACTTAAAGAATAAAGTGGCATCGAGTTTGAAGGTTTTTGAAAAAAAAGTACAAATTGTGATCTAGACTAGAGAAAGGGTGTCATCTTTGTGAATGGATAGGAGAGCTTTAAATACTGTATGTGAAAAAAGTGTTTTATCCCTCCTTTTTTTTATTTAAAGGGTTAGTTCACCCAAAAATGAAAATTAAGTCATTAATTACTCACCTCCATGCTGTACCAACCCCGTAAGACCTTCGTTCATCTTCGGAACACAAATGGAGATATTTTTGATTAAATTTGAGAGCTGTATCACTACCACATAGGCACCGTAAGGGATTGAAACTTGACAGCCCAGAAAGTCATTGAAGAAAATGTTTAAATATTCCATGTGACTACAGTGGCTCAACTATAAGTTTATCAAGCGACGAGAATACTTTTTGTGTGGAAAAACAAACAAAAATAACAACTTTATTCGACTATTCCTTTTCTTCCTTCTGGGCCTAAAACGAGAGTTCAAGAGATTTCCACGACGCATGCGCAAGAACTGAACAATAAGTAGTGGAAAAAGAACGTAGTGGTTATTATTTTTTTTTTTCCCGCACAAAAAGTATTCTCGTCGCTTGATAAACTTATAGTTGAGCCACTGTAGTCACATGGAATATTTAAACATTTTCTTCAATGACTTTCTGGGCCGTCAAGTTTCAATCCCTTAGGGTGCCAATGTGGTAGTGATACAGCTCTCAAATTTAATCAAAAATATCTCCATTTGTGTTACGAAGATGAACGAAGGTCTTACGGGGTTGGTACAGCATGAGAGTGAGTAAAAATGACTTAATTTTCATTTTTGGGTGAACTATCCCTTTAAAGAGGGATGTATTTTCTAGAATAATTTTGCAAGCAGTCGACCAAACCCGTTCGGTGTGCTGCTGAACTCTGGTATTCTGTTTGTTTGTGCCTCTGCCTCAACTCTTCCTTGAGCAGAGTACATCCAAAGATTCCAACACAATCTTCCTGGTGAATACCCAAAAGGGTTAACTTAATGATAACGGTAACATTTCAAAGACTAGCACAAATTATTCCATGTAAAATTTAATGATCCGTTACTGCATGCCGAGTTTGAGATTGCACTGGTTACTGAGCTTAGGGCTTGCAGAAATTTTGTTAAAAGCCTACTTTGTTTTTTGAGAATTAACAGATGTAAAATGTAAGTATAACAAATAATATGAAATTAACAGTATTTTACAATAAAAAAACCCATTTCTAACCAACATCTCAAATGGTGACATGTTCTGCAAAAAAAATTTGGACTAAGTCTCAAACCCTCTCCATTTTAAATTGACCCTAAAACTGGAACTTTTAGCAATCTTGATCAATTACATTTAGATTTAAATTATAATCTCAAACTTTTAGTCTAAGTTAAAGTCTAAGAAACAAGAGTGTGCAAAATCTGTAATCTTTAAATGGGTGGTTTTGCAATACCAATACATAAGGGTATTTGAGGTAATCACTCAAAAACAAAAAGGTAAATTAAAAATGGTCATGCAACCAACTTTACAAATTTGTGGACCACTTGAGATGTACTGACCTTAAGATAATTGTCTCTTAAGGTTTGTGAGGGTTTACTCCAAGAGTTTCTTGAAGTTGGAATTTCCACATGGCCTGGATACTTGGACACAATGTCATTATCTCTGGAGAATTTACACACAAAGTAACTGACTATCTATTTTCTATACAATACTTAGTAATCTTTTGAGTAAAGTTTTCATGATGAAATGAATTTTGAGAGAAGTTTTCTTTATGCTGCAGGTATGATGAGATGGGTGTCCTCTTCACAGTAGTGGTCAGTGAGAGTACACTAAAAAGTGGCCTTCTGCTGGTCCGTAACAGAGACACCACCATCAGAGAGACTATGCACATCTCAGAAATCAAATGCTACCTGCTCAAATACATATCTGCCTCAGACAGTATATGACTTTTATCATCTGAATCTCAATGGAATACATATTGTAAAGAACATATTGTAAAGTACTGTAATGTGGTGATATGATAACTGTTGGGAGTGATGTAACTGTTACAAAATTGTTTCTCTGTTTCTGTTTCACTAAAATGCTATTAGTGTATACCATTAAAACAACAACAAAAAAAAACATAAGATTTCATATTAAACTTTATCATCAGCTGTTCCATCCTGATTGCATTTATTTTTGACCATGCCAACTAATATCTACTGTATATGATGTTATGTGGTAGGAGTTTAGCGGTTATCTGGCCCAGATAAGCAAAGATTTAGGGTTAGTTCATATTTTGCAAAGATTGGAAAATTCCATTGTTTTTTTAGGCGTGAAATGCGCTTGAATTTTGAATGACGTCCTTGAAATTGTTCGATATATGTTCTTAGAATGTTCAGTGCGAGTAAAAAAAAAGAAACTTGATGTTATGGATCCCTTGTGCATCATGAGTCACATTGCTTTGATATTGCACAAGTATATGTGATGCATTGCATATGGGCCTACTCGGATGCTAAGGGGAGGGGACCCAAATAACCACCAATTTTATTTTCCTTATACAAAGCCAATTTTTAACTATTAATCAGGTAGTAAAATAAAATGTAAATCTTTAATAATAATCCAACACAGTAAGATGAAGTCACATGAGTATCTTGGATGAAGCTCATTTGAATTTGGTATAGCCTACATGTTTACTCTGTTACGGAGGAAATCGAAACCAAATTACACTACATTTTTTCTGACGATGAAGCATACTGCCATGTACAATTTCACGTAAACGCCAAAATTGGATAGAAACTGCCCAATGTCAGGAGCCAATCAGAGTCCTCCCAAGTCACCACGCAACGATCACTTTCCCCAGAGTTCTAATCACCTGCACCTGTTTCCAATCAGCACGCCCTTCACAGCCAGCATAAAAGCACCAAGTTCACAGTCACTCACTGTCAAGCCTCCAACAGGAAAAAAAAAAAAAGACCCTAACCAGCCTTCACTTGCTTCCCTCTGAGACATCCACCGAGCTGAGATGTAAAGTATACTTACCTGTAAAGACTAACCGCTCTGTCCTTGTTCTGATGTTCCCAGGATCTGCTCCATGATTCTCGTTCCGTGTCCTGGATTATGCCATGAGTCTCGTCCCTATAATGGATGATCTATAAGGATGAAAAGCAAGTATCACTGAACTGTGTTAGTTCCTGACCTACTATTGAAAAAGGATCTACTCACCTGGAATCCTGTCTGTACTCCGTCTGCTCCACGACGATCTGAAAGTGAGAAAAGGAAAGTCATTGCCTTGTGTCACCGTTCATGTAATTCCTAAGAGGAGGATTCACTCACCTGGATGTATTCCTGTCACGTATCCTCCTTCAAGAGCACTTCTGAGCACCTGAAACCCTGAATACTTACCTTGTTTATTAATAAAGAAAGTTTAAGTTCATTACTTACCTCTGTCTCCGAGCCTGAATCCTGATTCGTACAGTCTTTTTATTTAATAGAGAAAATTCACGGGCGTAAATTTATATCGGCATGTCTGTGCTTCTTATCATGTTTTTTGTGCATTGGGTTTTGTGATTTCATCGTAACGAGTCTCTCAGTCCCCACAACGGATTGAAGCGTGGGTCTGTTTGAAGATTGTGTGCGTCACAACAGAACACTGAATCCAATGAAACTGATCGCAGCAGCAACGAGCACTTTGGTCACTTGATTTCAAAAACAACACATTTCAGATCGCCTCTAATTTAACAAATGAACGAAATGAATGCTCTACTAGAATTACCTCCCAGTTAACAATTTTTGGTTCCCAAAACGTTCCCAGAACGTTACTTTCAGGTTCCCAGAACGTTCCCAGAACAAACATTTCTAACGTTCCCTATTGGTTACCTAGGAAAGTTTTCTTTACGTTAATAGAGTTTGAAAGTTTTCTTTACGTTCCCTTTAGGTTAGGGGAACGTTCCGGGAACTTAGAACGTTCTCAGAACGTTCCCTAAAGGTTCCCGGAACGTTCTCCTAACCTCTACATCCCGATATGCCTGTACACAAATAAGTCTACAAAAAATATCTTCTATGTTGTTTATTTTTTACAAAACATAAGAATCGTATGAAGATTACTACAATAAATGTAATGTATGCACAAAATTTTAATGCCACGAAAAGCCATGCACATGTATTTTAAACAACATATTTATAAAAAAAATTCAAAATTGCAGTTTGAAACCATGAAGATAAAGATTCTAAAACTAAAGAGATTAGCCTGTAATAATTTAATAATTGTAAGTAGGACATATGATCATATACTAATTAAATATCATGAGAAACTGACATTGTTTATTGTTCACATTGACCTGAATAGTAATATTATTTTTAAAAATTAAAACAATTGATTGTATGAATATAAAATCATTACAATAAATTGAATGTAAGCAAAAAAATTTATCTATATATAAAAGCCGTGAACATGTATTTTTATAAACAACATGTATTACAAAATTAAATAAAAATAATCATGAACATGAAAACATAAAAATTCTAAGACTTTAGGAGATTATAATAATACAAGTTTATAAATGTGAATATCTCAAGACAATTATCAATGAGAAACTATATACACTTTTGTTTAGCACACATATTATACATAAATACATAAAAAGCCACAAAAAACGCAGGTATACACGCATGTGTGTGTGAGTGGTGTGCTTTTGTAAATGTGTATTGTCTCAGTCCTTTGTGTCTCCTTCAGCAGGCATCCTGTTTTGGGATAGAAAAAGATCAAAGATTAGGACAGTGTAAACCATAGACTGTAAAAAATATATATGGACGTTGTGTCCATGACGTCACCCCGTAGGTTTCTGAAAAGCATTTTTGAAGCCTGAAGTGGATGGGGCTTAATAATTAATTATTATTCATTTGTAATATTATTATGTCATTAAACGTTTTACGTAAATATGCTATGAAAGCAAAAAATGTTGGCAAACAGCAATGCCGTTTACATCTTGCTTAAACAACTGTATATGACGAGTGATGCGTATCATTTATAAAAAAAAACTATTTATAGTTTGTGAATAGATCACAATGTAGACTGAGGAATAATCCTCAGTCCTCACTCATGTCGGTTTCGCAAATGTAAACAGACACATGGGGATCACACTTGGATGTTGGATCGTCTGAATATTACCTTTCTGCTCGTCTCCTCAGATCTCTTAACTTTTGTGCCATGCAGACCTTGATCTCAGTGCCTCCGATGCCTGGGTGCCTCTTTTTGACATAGTCTGTAAGAAATGCGATTGATTACATTAAAATTTGAAAACAAGTTTGTCACGCGACGTAACTGCCAGATTCAAACTGTGCTTTCCAAGCTATGGCTGTCGCTGACAGATGCGCTCAGCGCTTGTCATATAATAACTATTGATAAAAGATATTCAGACATGCTTACCAATTATTAGCTGCACCTTTTGTAGGTCAAGGCTCTTTTTTCACCAACAACCCCTTTTTTCCCGTTCATGTTGCCATCTCTTTGAAGACAAGATGGAGTCCATAAGAGTTCTGGTTAACTTTTTGTAACCCTTACATCTCTGAGCATGATCCAAACCAACTGGGTTCATTAAGTCAGTCACAAACTTGTTCTGCAAAGCAAAAAATAAGATTTTCGTCAGGACAGAAACTGTGATCTTTTCAACGTTATTGCATATTAGATGAGGTTTTCACGTTGGAGCTGTGAGTGTAAATTTTAGCATACAAGTATTTATTGTTTGTGCTCGAGTCTTGTTACTCTTTTACCTTCATAGTTATTCCAGAGTTTAGGGGTAAAATGCGAGAAATCTCCTTTAGTGGACTTTTATGCTGGGCACTACTCACTGATCTATATAAATGACTTGATTGCTCACGACCAGTGTTGTGCAAGTTACTTCCAAACTGTAATACATTAGGTATTACTTGTTACTGTTATTTAAAAGTAATTCATTACCTTACAATATTACTGTCTCAGAATTGTAATGCGTTACATTACTCATGTATTACTTTTGAGTTACTTTCACCAAAATAACTAAGTAGAACTTAACTTTTGGGCTGTAACGATATGCAATATGAAACCGAAATCGCGATTCACCACACGACTTACAGAATCGCGACACACCTCTTCCAACTCCCAGCGTTATTCTCCTTACCGTCCAGATCCAATGCTGCCTTATCTTTAAATTAGGCTATTAGTATTATTTGAAGTTAACATTTGAAGTTAACCACAAAACTAGTTGAGGATAAATTATTGAAAATTGGGGAAGTCCAGCATTATGGACATGACATTTGCAGTCAAAACTTGAAATAAAAATTCTCAGAAAATACATGTATTGAAACGTATATAGGCTACTTCCTTAAAGGACTCCAGACATTAGACAAATATCAGTCTATGTTTTATTTTTAATATTAGGGAAAAGACACACATTCATGCGTGACAAAAAAATAGGAGGCAAAATATATTTTTTGTAATTCTGTTAATTACACTGCGCAAATCGAATGAGGAAGGGTTGGCTCTCCAGTCTCCATAGAACTTAAAATATTCATTTTATTTTAGTTTTCGTGTTCGCATTTATGAGGAAAAAACAATGTTACAGACGCGACCGCTCTGAACTGGCACTAAAAGACTGCTTTAAAACTTTTACATAGTCTGTTGCCTTTTAAGAAGTAAAAGCAGACAATACACTGTAATACAACTGTAATACAAGCCTCACTGAACATGTAACGAGTAAAATATTACTGAAAATTGATTAGTAATGCCTTACACTACTGCGTTACAGCAAAAAGTAATATGTTACAGTAATGTATTACTTTTGTAATGCGTTACTCCCAACACTGCTCACGACGTCATGTAAATTGAAGTCACCATATTCAATTGAATTAATAGGAAATCATCTGACTTTAATGAGAAACATGACCTAAAAAGTCAGTGTTTTTTTATATTTGAATACTATACATTCTTACAATGTAAACATCTAACCCTAACCCTAAACATTTCTGATTATTATCAATGTTAAAAACAGTTATACTGATTAATGCGTTTGTGTAAACCATTGTAACAGTTTAAACCATTTTCCCCCTCCAGGATTCATTGTTAAATAGACCACAAACATATGAAGGGTAGTTTTATTTATTGAGCTTCCTCGGCTCACCTGTGTCCTAACGTTACTTCTCCGTCAGCAGCTTTCTTCAGAAATTTTGAAGTAACTTAGTGGAGCTTTCTCCCTGTTATGGGTTATTTCGTTACTACTGAAATCACAGAACATTTAATCAAAATGTGTTTAACGTTACCATTGAGCTAACGTTAGTTTCGGCCAATTGCTCCTAAAAGTCCTGAAACATCACCGATACGTTACGTTTACGTTTGTGTTAAATAAATTAGCTCACTTTCCAGTAAAACCCTTACAAAACCTCTCATTTACACATAAGAGGTGATTAAAAGAAACTTTAATAAATAAAAGTTCAACCGAGTTAACGTGCCGTTACTTTCTGGTTCCCAAGAAAGACGTCGGCCTCAGGCCGATCTTAGATCTCAGGGCTTTGAACAAAGGGCTCATAAAGAGACCGTTCAAAATGCTCACAGTCAAGAAACTCCTCGCGCACGTCCGCCAGGGGGACTGCAGGTTCATCTCTCTAGACCTGAAAGACGCCTATTTTCAGATCCAGATAAACCCTTATCACAGGCCATTCCTACGTTTCGCCTTCGAGGGTCAGGTTTACCAATATGCGGTTCTCCCGTTCGGCCTATCCCTAGCACCCGGTACGTTCACGAAGTGCATGGATACAGCGCTCGCTCCCCTGCGGAGTCAGGGGCTGCGCATTCTAAACTATCTGGACGACTGGCTGATTCTAGCAGATTCCCAGACGGAGCTTCTGTCGCACCGCGCAGTTCTCCTCAACCATCTGAAAGCGCTGGGACTCTCTGTCAACTGGACAAAGAGCTCTCTCCAGCCCAGTCAAACTATTTCATTCCTTGGAATAGATTTGAACTCTATCACAATGACGGCTCGCTTATCCACACAGCGCGCGCGCCGTGTTCAGCGTCTAGCCGCCTCTTTTCGGATGGGTACCCACACATCCCTGAAATCTTTTCAGAGGATGCTGGGTTATATGGCCTCAGCCTCCGCTGTGCTACAGCTGGGTCTTCTGCACATGCGCCTTCAACTCTGGTTAAAGAGCCGCGTATCCCACCGCGAGTGGACTACGGGCCGCCAGATTATCAAGATTACTCAGACATGTATCTCTGCACTGCAGCCATGGTCAGTAATCGAGTGGTTTCAGAGGGGCGTTACCATGGGAACCTTTTCTCGCCGAAAAGTCATCTCGACAGACGCATCCAACTCGGGTTGGGGTGCGGTCTGCGAGGGCTCACCGGCCGCCGGCCAGTGGTCGAGCCAGGAGAGTTCCCTACACATAAACTGTCTGGAGATGATCGCGGTCGAGAACGCGCTGCTGTTTTTCCTCCCGCGCATACACGGTCACCACGTCCTGATTCGCTCAGACAATACGGCCGTGGTATCTTACATCAACCGTCAGGGCGGGGTCAGATCCAAGAATCTCTTTCATCTGACGCGCCGCATCCTATTGTGGTCCCAGAGTCACCTGCTTTCGCTCAGAGCGGCGCACGTACCGGGCCATCTGAACGACGGCCCAGACATGCTGTCCAGGAACCTTGTCTCCCCCGGAGAATGGTCCCTGCACACTCAAACAGTCCAAACATTGTGACGCCTATTCGGCAGAGCGGAGATAGATCTTTTCGCGTCAGAAGAGAACGCTCACTGCCCGATATTCGTTTCAAAGAGCGAGGACGCGTTAGCACTGGATTGGCCCCGCCGCCCGCTCTATGCTTTTCCCCCGATTTCTCTGCTACCGCAGGTCATTCAGAGAATCAGGGACTCACGCCACTCGGTGCTCCTCATAGCCCCGCGCTGGGAGAATCAGATTTGGTTCCCGGAGCTTACGCAGCTGTCACAGACAGCCCCGTGGCCCATTCCAATCAGAGCAGATCTCCTCACTCAAGCCCGCGGCTCGATCTGGCATCCCCATCCACAGCGCTGAGCGCTTCATGCATGGGTGACCAACGACTACGCGTCGAATTGCCAGAAGGGGTTCTGAACACGATCAAACACGCCAGAGCGGAATCTACCAGAAAGCTCTATGCTGCTAAATGGTCTGTGTTCTCTAGATGGTGCACCGACAAAAATTTGGACCCACGGACGTACGAGCTAATCATCCGCTTCCTCAGGGGAGCCAGAAGGATGAACCCCCCTCACCCCCCCACGGTGCCGGTCTGGGATCTTTCTATAGTCCTAGAAGCTTTAAAAGCCCCACCGTTCGAACCACTCGAGTCCGTGGAACTAAAATACCTCTCGCTAAAAAACGTTTTCTGACTGCACTCGCCTCAGTAAAACATGTGGGGGACATTCACGCGCTGTCTTCAAGCGCCGCGTGCCTTGAGTTTGGACCTAATGACTCCATCGTCATTCTGAAACCTATACACGGTTATGTTCCGAAAGCGATTGGTACCCCCTTCAGGGCGCAAGCGATCTCTCTATCGGCGCTGCCTGCATCCGATAGCGAACGTGACACTGATCGCCGTGACACCAGTGTACACTAGACGCGCCGCTATGCTGGCCGCCTTATTGTCTTTGTAAGGGTGGATTTCCTGCAGGGGTTCAGGCTGCAAGACTGCCGAATGACTAAAGAAACGTTTTTAGCAAGATGGTAGAAAAATGCACATTTCTTGTCTATTCCACCCACTGCAACTTATACCAACGACGGAAATAAGCGCAGTTACAATAGCTTAATATGTGGGAGAGCTTTGCTATAGAGAGTGACAGTATTGTATTGCAATAGGTAGCACTTCAAAGTCAATACCAAATCAAAACTAGATAGCATCTTAGTTGTAATTGAAAAGGTTTAATGACAAAATATGGTTATGGTTACACTTAAAATAGTTACAAAATAGATGTATGAAATGATGATAACGTATACCAATAATCTTACCCAGCATGTAAAATATTACCAGGGAGAGAGAGAGAGAGAGAGAGAGAGAGAGAGAGAGAGAGAGAGAGAGAGAGAGAGAGAGAGAGAGAGAGAGGAAGGGAAAAAGAGGCAAAGGGAGAAAACCCCAAGAAAGGGAGAAAGCCAGAGCATAGAAAGAGCAGAGCATTAAAAGAGACAGAGCAACAGTTACAGTCTTCTTTTATCCTTTCCCTGACCATGTGACTAAAACCCAAATGTGAGACATTTAAACTGACCAATCAGATAATTACACTTCCCCCAGTGTTCTAAAGGTGTGACAATTCATTGACCCCACAAAGTACACAATCTTGGCCTACAGGCCTTGATCACTATCAGCTCCTCTGTCTTTGATCCTCCAATGGTCCTTGTGGTTAAAAGAAGGGGTGGAACACAGTAAAGATCATTTCAAATGTCTTGGATTCTTTTCAATCCTACAATTCCCCCCTTGGCACCGTTGGCCACACCCATGGAGTCCAAAGGTGGCACAATCTTCAGCCCTGCATGAGGAGGCTTTATCAAATGGTGTTGCACCTTTCATAGATATGCAAATCATCCATCGAACACTCCACACTTCCACAAGAAAAGGTACTGAATCTGGGAGCAAACACTGGTTCCTCTTTCAGAGGCAGGACACAGTGTGAACTTAGCAGGAATCCTGTGATTCAAAAGAGCATGAAGCACAACAAACAGAAAAGGCATACATATGGCATTTGTCAATGTCATTGATTAGAGGTTTGATATGGTCAGATTAAAATGTGTCTCTGGCAAAAAGCCCTTAAATTGATATACTTAAAAATGTGATCAAGGGAGAATAAAAGAAGATCTTACAAGCTCTTACAGTGTTTCTGGAAACATTTAAATAAATTGCATTTCAACAAAACAACAAATGCTGGTTTAAAACCCCATTTCATGTACAGTATCAGCAAAATATTCAGTGTAACCAAACACAGAGATTCAATTTAATCAATGTCCAAAAACATTATTGCAAGTCAAATGGACAAAATACAAATAAGCATACACCCAATAAGTTTCAGAAATATTCCAAAGCATTACAAATATTTGTACTTCGGTAAAATTTAGTAATACTGACATACATTTTAAAATTTAACTTGGTGAGACAAGTGATTACTTAAGTGATAAAGTAAATTCAAAGTAAAAACAAAACAATCACTTATTAGATGAAAGACTTGAATAAAATTGTATGAATTAAATTTTGTGAGGCAGAATCAGCTGCAGATTTGACTTTGTGTGTAAAGATCAAATGGTGTTATCTATGTGGCTGCATTTAGCTGTGGCTATGTGTAAATTCTTCATGCCTCAAAACAAAGATTAGGGAGTTTTACAATTGTGATGCAAATTTGGTCCTGTTTTTGTAACAGGGAGCCAGCATGAGAATGTGAGTATGAGATGTGATCTGGCTCAAAATCTTCCCACACCTATGTTTTTGTTAAGAAGCATGATAACAGTGCAAAGTTCAGAGTTACTGAATCCTGTTGTGAGCAAAGCATTTTCATGGTTAATGCAATTGTGAAGCACATTGTAGCCACATGGCCATACTATGCTCCTTTACGTGGTTTTACTGCAGCTATATGGAAAATAGCAGAGTTTTCCACTAAGGAGACAAATTCAACAGACACACACATGCAACTTGAAATTGCAATGCAATTCCAGTAAAACAGTTATTCCAGTTTACACAAGATACTTGGCCTAGAATGCACAGCATCTACAACCTTTTCACCTAAGTGTTTTCATCCAACACTTACAGTAAAGCAATCATGTGTCTTAAAGAAATAAACTTAATTAGTCTATGTGCACATTGTAGTAGCACAAACAACTATAAATTGTGTTCTATGAGTGTTACGCGCAATTACAAATCTGAAAATACTAGCAGGATCATTGCAATTTGGATGTTAAACTTGTTGCTATTGGGCTACCAACCCACTAGCAAGTGAAGTTAATAGCTGAAGGCCTTGCATGAATAAGGCGGTTAACTCATTAAGAGTTTTGCCGGTACGTGCAGATCGCAGATTTTTACTCTTAGAAAGTGGTTTGCTATTTTTCTGAAAATAAGGAGGAGGTCTACCCCTACCCAGTGACCAGCATTTCACCTCTTTATGGCCTATTTTCTGACAGGAACTGCAAAACCTGCTTTCTTTACCATAGGG